GCTCACGGTATACACTCTCCGCTTCTTTTTTTGATGGTTGCATTCAATCTCGTATTCCTCGCGCATAGAAATCCCGAACGAAGAAGGGAGCACCGAAGACTCGACCACAGGCACGCGCCACCAAGGGTCCGGTGCCGGACGGTTGGCGTACCCCGGAGATCAGGGCGCTCGAGGTGGGTGTACAAACAAGTCTCGTGGACTTGTGGGTGCATTTAGCGTGGTACATGAGAGTGTCGATCCCAAACTCCTTTTTCAACAAGACAAGACCACTTGTGTCTGAAAGAAAGCGGGGGGGATGTTCGGGGCGAGGCCGGGCTAGCTCGGTGTGCGCTGTGTGTCCGCCGGTGTTGCTAATCTCTCTCTTCTGTGTTGGTTGTTTGAAAGGCCATGTGGTCTTTGTATTGAAGGTCACCATGTGCACCTATAGATGCACGCTTGTCGCGCATTTTCGCTTTTGTGTGAGCTACTGTAGGAGGGAAAACGTTTGTCGTACTAATGTTTTGGCACCAGGGGACGTATTGATTTGTTCAGTGCGGGCACAGGATATTCCAGTTTGCATACATAGCCTTGGCTTGAAAAAATCATCCCCGCATTGTCACCGCGATTCGTCCAACCCTGCCCTAGAGGCCATTCCATGGCTCTCTGGCTGAACTTTCGACTTATTGGCACACGGCCATGTTGCTTTTTGCCTCACGTTCGTTTTTTTCGCGTACACGGACGGCTGGCTGGGTATGCGTGTGCATGCAGGACCAAATCAACAGTCGCATCGACCTCGTACTCCGCATGGCAGACGAGAAGTGGCGCCTGGCTCAGCACGCCTACGACCGGCTGGACGTGAACATCCGTCGTCTCGATGCGGACCTGGGTCGTATGGAGGTACGTACTTTTGTTCAGCAATCGTTAACGCAACCACAACAGCGTGTTGTTTTTGTTTTGTCTGTGCCTCGCCCCGCAGCCAATCGTCGCGCACGTGTGTACAGAGCACGTGGTTGACTTGCGTTGGACGCTTGACGTGCCTATGCTTGGCAACCTTCACGAGACCGTTTTGCGCTGTGTCACGCGCACCAACGATGCCTGTTACATGCGCGATCTCCCCCCTTTCATGTGTGTTCCACAACTAAGCGACACCCCCCCCCCCCCCCCCCCCCCCCCCCCCCCCCCCCC